AGATATGGGAATAAAGTTAAAGCATATGGTTTTCTAAAACTGAAGAAAAAAATGGGGCATACACTATAATTAACCTTGTTTGCAAAATAAGCCACCCTTTCGTTTGGTTAAGGTAAGATTAAGAGCTATTTTGATTTTTATTAAATAGTTAAACAATTAAATTCAGCTGCAATGTTTAAATGTTGAACAAAAATAAATCTTTATCAAAACTTTACAAAATAAAAATAGTAATATATATTATGATAATATCATTCTATGGTAAAATTTGATATGAAGAATTTGTTTTTCTGAAGTTTTAACCTTAAACTCATCCTCACATACTACATGCACTTCTGATTAAGACTTGAAACACATAAAGATTTGCATTTCTATTCAGATTACAGTAAATTATATTTAATACATCTCACACAAAAGGAACGATTATGTTTTTAGGAACGTAGGTTTTTCATAACTTTCCATTTTGTAGAGGGATGAGGAATACTTTCTTGTTGTTTTATCCGTTAGGAAGATTTTTCATGAGTCAAAATTCTTTTCAAAAGATCAGGAAAATATTCAACTGATTATATCTTTGAAATATTTCCTTACCTCTGTTCTTCTGCAAAGTTAATAAATCAAATTTATATGCAAGACGACAAAGAAAGCAACACATTACTGAATGCTAATTTACATTTTAAAATTGAAATTTAGTTTTTGGATTGGTTTTTACGACTTACACATTCCCAACTTTGACATCTGACTGAAAAATAAGGATTGTCAGATTTTCCTTAATTCCAAGGAACACAATGAAAATCAATAATAATAATTTTAACTTCATATCAAATATTGCACAATTTCAAAATTTATCTTAAACCATTAACATTATAGAATTTCTATGCATATTACCAGGGAAATGAATTCAAACTGTCATTGTTCAAAGGGAAAATTTACTTTCTATGGTAATTTCTACTAATATCTGAAATATCCAAATCGTCAGTGTTATGCTGACGAAAAAATGACGTCATTTACATTACCTTGTCATAAAAGGGTTGTACAGTGTACGTTTGACTTTTGTAGCAGAAATGTAAATTTCTACTATGCTATTGACACCACATCGTTATGTGCACACAAAAAATTTAAATGTAAATATTCTTCATGTGGGCGTCTCAAAAATATTTCAATTCATATGTGAATGTCGAATTTCCTCTGTTCAAACAGGTTATTTAGCTAAAAGAGATTGTCATATACATAACAGGAACTTTGGCAGTGAAAGTGATAATACTTTCCATGCATTTAATAGTTATGGATATTTTCAAACGCGTAAGTGTAAATTTGCATTTTTCGCATTTTCAGATGCTTTCTCCGTTCAAAATACCAGGAACAGCTCAACATTTTCTAGAATGTCAATCAGAAGAATGCAAAAGTAATTGTGAATTTTACTGTAACACTTGCCGTCTGCAGTTATGTAGGCAATGCAGAGATCTTCATCTAAAGGCTAAAAAAAATCAGAACCACAATGTTGTTCTGTACCAGGAACGCACACGGCAACTTCTCGAGAAATGCAAGATTCACCCATCCAAAGAAACTGATATGTTATGTGATGAATGCCAAGTTTCGTTATGTTCCAAATGTGCCACATCCCAGGAGCACAAAGGTCACAGCTTCACTGACATTGAGAAAATTCATGCTGAAAAGTTGGCACTATGGCAAAAGGAAATCGACAAAATCCATGAGTACTATATCCCAACGTCACAATATTTGCAAAATGAAATAAAAGACGATGCAAAGAACATAAAGAAGATAATAAACAGCATGAGAGAATCATTAATTGAAGATGCTGATTTACTCAGGAGCTTTGTAGAAACAATTGTTACCGGGAAAATGAAGCAGATAGACCAGATCGAAAGCTCGTTGTTAAAAGATGTAGAAATCCAGGAAGATACATTCACTAAGTACATCACTTATCTCGATGACATTGTCAAAGAATTCAATTGGTACATAACGAATAGAAAAGCATTGTCAGAAGTCATGACAATTCAACCGATTCCATGCATAACAAAACCAGACACACCAGCATATATTGCTCGGAAATGCAAGATTGAAGATGTTGCACAATTACTTGGTGAAATAAGCTTTCATGAAAAACGAACAGAAAGTAGAAAATTAAAGCCAATGAAAATGATATCTCAAGCAGACAAAAACAAAGAAGAATGTCTAAAGAATAATGAACAAGCAGAAGGGAAACAAATAATATCTTTATCACCCTCCATCGCCAAAATAAGGAAGTTCAACATACATGGTGCTTATGGTGCTCTTCACCTTTCAATGAGTAAAGGAGACCGATTCTGGGTCAGTGACTGGGATGGAAACCTTGTCCAAATTGATCTACAAGGAGGGCATCAGCTGGAGAAGATAAAAACAAGTCCTAGATCTGAAGGCTATCACACAACGACTATGGACGGAGATTTAATCTTCACAGACATAAACAAAAAGGTCATCAGAAGAATGACACTTAACAACAGGAGCACCTCATTCATTAAAACAGGAGAATGGAAACCAGTCAGTCTATACTCCTCCAACTCCAACGGGGATATACTCGTGGGAATGGTTAAAGATAAAGAGGCTAGAATCACCAGGTATGACAAGACAGGAAAAGAGATACAAAACATACAGTGGGACAGCAAAGCAGAGGAATTATATAGCACTCCATACTATATCACAGAAAACTTGAATGGAGATGTTTGTACTTCCGACTTTAGCAAACAAGAGGTGGTGGTTGTGGATAGAGAAGGGCAGTATAGATTCTCTTACAAAGGTAGTCAAGAATCGGCGTTCTTCCCAAAAGGAATCTGCACGGATATCCTCCTCCACATTCTGGTGTGTGACTATTACAGTGATTCTGTGCACCTCATTGATCAGAACGGTCAGTTTTTGTCTTTGCTTATCACGAGACGAGATGGATTGAAGTCCCCGTGCAGTTTGTGTGTGGATGATGAAAATAACCTTTATGTTGGAAAGCTCACTAAAGGCATAACAGTGTACAAGTATCTTCAGTGATATTTTTTCTGACCAGCAATATAATAGTTACTTTATTGAGAGTCTACCCATTGGGATGATATCAGATATGAATAATTTATGAATAATTATCTATTAAACTTTAATAAAGATATGCTGCAACATTCGAATCTGCACTGCGGTGTCACAAGAGGCATTTCCACAAGGACAAATATTTCTATCATTAAACTTATGTTATAAAAAAATAACTTAATCTACTATCCATTAGCATTTTCTATTAAAACAACCAGAAAGACTTCTATTTTCAAGCTTTTCTTTTGTTAAATATCAAGTGAATGTGGCTTGAGGCAGCGCTGCATTAGGAATAAGTTTTTGCATTAAAACAGTGCAATAGGGCCAAAATAAAATTATAGTTTGTTTGGAATTGCCGCCCGCCTCATTAAAATACCCCCCGCTAAAAAAATTTTATTGGCAAAATATTGACAATATTTTTTTATCGTTTTATCGTCTTACATTGTTTAGTACAAGTTAGTTCGTTCGTCGAAATAGCTTTTTAAAGTCGGGTTTGAGCTCACATTAAGTTAAGAACTCGGGTCAATAAAACGCTTTCTTCATAGTATTTATGATATAGCGATTATAGGTGGCGATTTGACAAAATAAAAGCCGCCAAAATGTCAGACCATGTTCAAGATGTTGGAAATATTCAAGCGCTGTGTTGAAGAGCAGAACTTTTATGCATCTCTATAAAAATAAAAGGTGAATAAAAAATTAAATGGAATGATACATCGATATCTTGAAAGAGCTATTGTAATAGACTGCACATTGAAATTGATAAGTTAAGTCCGTCATGTTGAAAAAAAAAGATCGTTCAATTCCCACTTAAAAAATTACATGGATCAAAAACGTTTTATCCCAAATACTAAAGGAAAAATGTTATCTGTCAGTATGACAAGTCTTTGAAACGTAATGTTAAAACTGATGCATGGTGAAAAATCGAGAACGTATGAAGCACCCCCTCCCGGTTTTACACAAAACATCCCAACTATTCTTAAGAAGTTTTTGTGGTTCAAACTGTTTGCAAGCGTTGTTTTAACAAAGGGGTAAATTTCAAAGAGAAATGCTGCGAAATAGTCTGATAAAAGTATTGTTTAAATAAAATTCTTTAAATAAACTAGAAGTTTGATGCTGAAATATAACTATTATTAAATGAACATAATCTTAACATCTAAACGAGATTAATATTTGAGTACCGTTCTGTGTATATCTTTTTTCTTCAAAATCGGACCAAATAATATTAATAAAATAAAAGAAAGAGGATAATAAATGGAAATTACCACTGTTCATTGAAATTTTATTTTACATCATTTAGCTTCAATTTAAAAAAAAAAAAAAATAAATAAAATCCCTCCCTCCCTCCTGGGTCTGAAAACCCCCAGGCGGCAATTCCAAACAAACATTTTTTTAAGGATGGCCTAATCCAAATTTTTTTCCACCCAGGGTTGTCGTAAGAACTGCAAAAACTGCGTATTTAATCCGTTGAAAAATCTGTAAGTGGAGATATTTTATTTGAAGAATGTCCAAATGCATTCTTTATAAAAGTAACCATGGCATTTATGATGACAAAAAATCTGCTGAAAGTTACTTCCCATTTATGGATCTTGACAAGGAGCACAAATTGGCTGTGACCGTTTTACAAAGGATACTCATTCCTTCATGGCACCTGTTCCCACATCTGATGTTTTCAGGGGCCCGTCTTTGATTTGCTTCCGGTTTGTACTGTTGATCGGTCGGCAGGGGATGCTCACTCCTCTATGGCACCTGATCCCACCTGTGATATTCTGGAGGTCTGTGTTTGCTTTGTTCCTATTTTGTATTGTTTTATGGACTTTTTATCTGGAATACTGTTCGTTATCTCCGTATCTTTCATTCGGTGAATTTATTAGCAAACGTATTAGCTTGATTACTGTAGGTTAACTCCATATTGAATAAGTATCACCGCAATTACACCATTTGGTAATGTTCTGAATAAAAGACTGACAAAGGACACCTAAACTCTATATGCTATGTTTGCAATTTTTAATTATCATTTTAAAGATATTTATTTGATAAATAATTGATGTTGAGAGAAAGAACAACAGAAAATGAATATTTATGGAACAAGCAAAGTTCATGAAAAATCTTGAAGAAAAGGTCATTGTGGTGCGTTGAAGCTAATAAGCGCCAAATCCATGAAATACTGAATAATATTAATAATGTAACCAATATTGTAAAATATATGTTTTGTGAACATTACTTTGAAATATGATATCCGATCCTTTATCAAATAACCACATTTTGATCACGAAATCTGTTAAATTTACAGTATAAATATGATTAAACCAGGAGTTCGGAAAACTGTGTTAAGGAATTCCTTCATCATGCTCAAATTATTGTTTTTCATTCTATTTATCTGTGTTGCTAATGGCAACGAGTCTTGTGACCGGAAGGAGATGGAGGACACAATATGCAGCCTCTGTGGACAAAGAAAGGGAAGTCAGCTGAATATATCTGTGGTACTTATTTTAATGTTTCAGAACTACTGATTATGTTCATGTTTTATATATCTCTAAAAACATTTTGTCTAGGATATGATATTTAGTTTGGTAGTGCATCCAAACATATTCAATCTTCATAATTTTTAATGCATAACTAGAGGTATTGTGAGCAATAAGCTCGCTAAAATAATAGCCTGTAGCCCTTTTCACAAAATATCTTACGACATATTTCAATCTTAAGAGAAACTTACGATAAAAGTCGTTTTCACAAAATTTCTTAAGAAAGTCCTACGTTCAAAATCTATCGTAACTTTACGAGAGCCCGTACCCTCTCTTAAGTATTTTCAAACCGGTTTTAATGTTAAAATATAACCATAAAAATCAAAATACACATAAAATAGAACTTGTAAAAGTGACTTCCAATATTATTTTATATTTTTTTCACGCTTATTTTAGAAAAATCACATGAAATACACAACAAAATATTTACGATCTAAGTTTCACTTAAGATTTTCGTAGGACCTACTCTTACGTCATACTTGTGATTGTGACGTCACATTTCAAACATCTTGCTTGCACTCGTTATTTGTTGTCATTGATGTTTGTTTTCGCTGATAAATAATAAAAACTGAGTTATATTTTTATGATCATCAACTTATGTAAGGATTATAAAGCATATTGAGATCGTTGCTAAGGACGAAGTCTGTCGTAAGTAAAATCTTAAGTTCAATCTGCTACGAATGCTTTCGTGAAAAGCACATAAGATTTGTCGTAAGAGATTCGTAAGTTAAAATCTTAAGCAAAAACTTAAGATTTTTTGTGAAAAGGGCTACTGGTCCCTGTCTCATCGTTGCCAAGTGAGGCAGAGTAAAAAAAGCAAAACAGGGACAGGGAACAAGGCTAACTAAATGATACCCCTGTTCCCAAATGAATAAAATTTCAGTGTCCATGTTTTGCTCTGGATAATCCAAAACAATATTATCACAGATAATTCAATTTATGCCGCTATGAGAAATATATTATATTTTACACCTAAGGATAATTCTGCATATCCCTGCGCAGTCTGCAGGATATGCGCCCTTATCGCAGCGCAATTATCATAGAACCTTTCATTGCGAAATCGCACCTTATTTTGCTTGACAGAGTTATCCAATCAAAATCCTTGATTTTGTTGCGCCATTTTTGTTAGCCTGGCAGTGCATTGAAGAAAAAAAAATGTTTATGCAAAAAGGGACCTGTGTACATGTGGTCTAAGATCAATGATCGGTCAGCTTCCTAGGGGAAAATCATCGGTGCCTGTAATTTATCAATTTGATGCCGTGGAAACTATCCTTGTATCGGGGAACCTATTTCGGTGGAGGCACAGATGGTGTTTTGGCAGTTGCTGTTCACTTCGACAACCCCCTATGAAGAATTTGAAACACGGGGACCGCTTTCGCCCATGCACTGGAGAAGTTCTAGGAATGCAGTGTTTGTGCATTCCCGTCAATTAAGGGCAGTATTGTTTTGGTCATTATAACAAAACAAATAATGTTTTAACGTTTACATATATTTGGAGCAGCTTTTAAATCATTATTTTATTCATACGTCATTATGGTTAAGCTGCATGTCTTTAAGTGATGTTCAGTAAAACATCAATGTATAACTGTTCAGTATAACAGTTCGGTCAGCTTGAATGATGTTCAGTATAGCATCATCTTTTAAATCATGTTCAATGCTGTTCAGTATAGCATTGCTCATCATGATTTGTTTTACCTGTTTATAAGTGATGTTCAGTAAAACATCAATGTATAACTGTTCAGTATAGCAGTTCGGGCAGCTTGAATGATGTTCAGTATAGCATCATTTTTTAAATCATAAATGCCGAGTTTAGCATTGCTTATCATGATTTGTTTTATAAGTGATGTTCAGTAAAACATCAATGTATAACTGTTCAGTATAGCAGTTCGGGCAGCTTGAATGATGTTCAGTATAGCATCATCTTTTAAATCATAAATGCCGAGTATAGCATTGCTTATCATGATTTGTCTTTAAGTGATGTTCAGTAAAACAATGAAACATCAATGTTTAACTGTTCAGTATAACAGTTTGGTCAACTTGAATGATGTTCAATACAGCATCATCATATAAATCTATAAATGCTCAGTATAGCATTCTGTGTTCATAGTTTCATTCGGAAAATGCTCAGTATAGCATGATTTATGTTTATAGCCTCCCTTTATAAATACTCGGTATAGCATAATATAATCATAACATAATTCTAAAAATTATTAGTAAATTTACTAGGTTTATAGCGTTACCACGGTTACTCCAAAAACGCTCAGTATAGCATTTGTATTATTATGACATCACTCTATAAAATTAAAATGCTCAATATAGAACTATTATGATTATAGCGTCACTTGATATAAACATGTAAAGCATTACCAAACAATTGGTTTGTATAACAGGTGGGTCCATTGGTGCTTCTAGCATGTCTAGTTGTGTTTATATATATAGAGGAAAACCCAGTATGACATCTGCATGAATCTGTTCAGTATAACAGTTGGTTTTGGGGTTATATAAGAGCCAATACTTGTCCCTGTATACATTTGTAGATTTTGTAATGTGACCATCAGTCATGATAATACAGAGAAAAGTAAACAGCAAGTAGGGGTAAAGTTCAATGTCTCTGTTGGTAGCTCACATGGC